TGTATGCGTGTTTGCGTCTTCAACCAAGAACTAGACTGCAGTTCTTACTGGAAGGATGCCAGTCCTAAGGTAAATGCAGCTGCAGCATGTGCAGAAGACTTTCTGCAGTTACTAATCAGAGCAGGCAGCTGAAATGAGTAAACCTGTGACGCTCAGGATGACACAATGTAAAGGAACAAAAGGGGCATTTTAAATGAGTGATGTAGGGATTTCATCATCCAGCAGACCAACACCCAGTGGAAGTTGACCGAGGACGAGTGAAAATGCTCGGCACATGAGCTGACCATTTAATCAGCAAACATTTTCCTGTGAATGCACACCGGTAGATTGGCAGCTCTGAACAGGACATAGAGCCTTTCTTTTATGTCCTGCGTGTGCAATTACTTAAAAATCCCCAGGCTGAGACTTGCTATGCTTTAGATTTTGAGAAGGAACTTGCATTTGTCAGGTAAAAATAAAAGCCTGCAGGAGAGCACGTGAGTTGAAACAGCCATTTCATCCAAAAAGAAAAATCTCATTTACATTAGTTTTATTGTCTCAGTATGAAAACTGACCACCAACTTTCAACATAGCAGTGAAAGAAAAATACTGGATACAGTGAATAAAAACACATTATAATAATGTCACCAATTTTCTAAATAAATATATTTCTAAGGGTGCTATTGACATGAAATTACCACCCATCTAACCCAAACATTCAAAGAAATCAAATCATAGATGTTCATAAATTAAGTTAGTTGTAATAATAAGAAAAGACACAGGGAAAAAAGAGAGGGAGATCCAAAAAGGCATGGAAAATCATGACACCAGCGCAAATCTATCAGTAATTACACCGTATAGTGGGTTGACAATGAACTCTCGTAGGAACTTTGCAATCTTCTGTTGCAAAAAAGTGATGGAATTGGTTACAGAAGATACAGAGATTTCAGACAGAGGAGTGAAAAGAATTATCAGAAGAGTTGTTCAAGAGCCAAGGGCAACAGAAAGATGTGGAATCAGCAGGTACAGTTGTTTCACAGAAAGTAAGTAATTAATGCCCTCAAACTTTAAATGCATGCACCACGGCCTGTTTGCACGCGCAACATGCAAGACTCCATTGCTAAAGAAAAAGCATGTTTACGTGTGTTTAAAGTTTACTGAACAACATTTAGACAAGCTTGTGAAACACTGGGAGAATATAGTCTGGACAGATGAGACCAGAATTCAACTCTTTGGATGCCATAATGCACACCATGTTTGGAGGTCAAACATATTGGTATGGTATTTTGGGGGTGATGTGCACATTATGGTGTGAGGATCTCAATAAAGATATGCTACCACCTACCAGGATGATGAAGATGAAAATGAGGGTGGACATTTCAGCAAGACAATGATCCCAATGCACAACCAAGGAAACTCTCAACTGGTTTCAGAGAAATAAAATAAACCTGCTTTGCCCAGCCTGAATCCAACTAAAATGGACTAAAAACAAAAATTTAGAGTTCATAGAAGGGGCCCATGAAACCTTCAGGATTTGAAGACTGATTGATTTATTTGCATATCTCTTCTCTGGTGAGAATTTTATGTCAATAGCACCTTTGGAAATATTGACAAATTTACTTCAAATTTAAGTTGAAAATGTGTGATGTGTTCAGTAGTTATTTTACCTCCTGTATATGGTAACCAGTTATCCAGCCCTTATTTATTCCATACTTTATCCCAACACCTTTGCACTCTGCACCATTGCACATATAAATATAAATACAAAAATGCTATACATGTTATTTTCTGCATTGCTATCTTATGTGTTGTACATTTGTCTATTCTGTTTAGTACATCGAGAGCAAAGAGAGAACCAGAGCCCAGGTCCTTGTAAATATACACACTTGGCTAAGTATGCGCACATATACACATACTTGATTTGTATATAAACACTGATTCTGATTCTGGTTGTGAAAAGAGAGCACAGTGAGCCAGACTAAAGAAAAGAGAAGACAACCTTTAATGTTGCAGTGGTATATAAACATGTGGGGAGTGAAACGAGGTGAGTGGAGAAGAAATTTTCAGTGCATCACATGAAGTCTTGTTCCAGTTTGAGCCTAAAACTAAGGGATGGTTCAAGGTACAAGCTTTACTAAAAAAGTTTTAAGACTGACCTTTAAATTCTAGATACATTGTAAATTGCCTGGTTTTTATTTAAAATATAGTGCTTTTCTAATGCACTTAGGAACTCAGTGTTTCATAGAAAGAATGGGTGTCTGTCTGTAATCTATGACAGACCATTCCTCAACAAGCAGAGGGGACAACCCCAACCATCCTAGGTAGCATCTTATTGTTTCTCTCTACCTCCTTATGGGAAGGATGATGTTTCATACAACTGTTTATGTGCAGTTTATGTGCAAGAGAAAAAAAGTTGTACTCCCAAGTGGAAACAGTGAGCCAAAATTAAAATTGTATTGTCCTCCATTCAGGTATTTCTCTGCAGGGAGAATGTGCAATGATTCTTTTTGATTTTACTACCTACTTAATGTTTGTAGGTAAGTCAACTAAAGCCATGGCAAATGAGGATTTTATTGTATTAGACCCAGGCTCACTTTACCAATGGATAAAGGGGCGATCGTGGAGTTGGGAGTTCGCCTTGTAATTTGAAGGTTGCCGGTTTGAGCCACGGACAGTCTCGGTCGTTGTGTCCTTGGGCGAGACACTTCACCCGTTGCCTACTGGTAGTGGTCAGAGGGCCCGGTGGTGCCAGTGTCCGGCAGCCTCGCCTCTGTCAGTGCGCCCCAGGGTGGCTGTGGCTACAATGTAGCTTGCCACCAGTGCGTGAATGGGTGGATGACTGGATGTGTAAAGCGCTTTGGGGTCCTTAGGGACTAGTAAAGCGCTATACAAATACAGACCATTTACCATTTAATCACATCAGTTTATATTTCAGAACCATAATATGCTAATCATAAATAAATGCACATAAGATTCCTGTGTTTTTTCTCCCGTATGATAGTCAGTTGTGATAATCACAGCTGACTATCACTCTTGCTTCAGGGAGAAGTCCTCTAAAACCATGTGAGTGAGTGTGTGTGTGTGTGTGTATTAGGCTGACCTTAAAATATTTGTTGTTGCTGTAAGCATACTGCTAAGATTTGACCGTCAATATTTTTTCAATTGTCTGTGGCATTTTTGAAATTATTGCATTTAAAAATGTGCTTTTGCTCTATTGCAGTTACCTCTCAGCACATCCTAATGGCCAATCTGAGCTTAATTTTGAGGTCAGGTATGAAATATTGACAAAGTTCCAGATGGATCAAAATCGTATGATCTTTTTCTAAGCACATCCACGTTCCCAGTTAGACTATGAATGCACACACAGATTTTCATTTCTATTGCAAATGTGTTTCAAATATCAGTCTCTTTCATAACCGATAATTTCAGAATGACCATACTCAGTTGCCCTAAAATGTTCACGTACAAAAATATTATCTTATTAATTGGCAGTCATATTATAGTTGATTCATCCTTGCAAAAGCTCAGAAAAAGTGACCCTCCAGGATATGTCATATTTTAATCTGGAAGAGCATAAAGCTTCCGTTAAGGCCCATTTTTGCCTTAAGATAAATGTATTTATAGCACAACAATACCCATGGTTCATGGCTGGACATTGTTGCTTTCAGGCATATAATTTCTCTCTAAGACTGAGGATTTTGAGGACAGACTGTTTTTTCTCTTTTGAAGATTAAAAGGGTGTGACACGGTGTGGAGAGTAGGTGAAAAGGAAAAGTCTTAGTCTTATTTATAGTTCAATTTGAATTTGTATTTATTTTTTTTAATGTAGTAATGGTGGTGATGATTATGGGGTGTGTAGTTCGAAATGAGGCATCTGTCTCCTTCTAAGTGCCTGCAAGTTCTACACAATGCGTTATATACTCAATTTGTCACCAAAAGCAGCTTCTTAGTAAATGTAAAGTCACTTGTAGCCTTGCGTAGCATTGTTGCAGGGCACCTTAAAGATGTGGCTTGGAGGAAATGCAGGTTTGATTCATATTCAATGTGGTTTAATAGGGTGTTTATATACAAATAAATCTGGATTGGTGCAGCTATTTCTACTGATTTTCACAGCTGACTTGCAAAAATCTGATGGCCCAACTGATGGCACTAATTAGCCACAATATTAAAACCCACTTACCTAATATTGTGTCCAGATAATGTACTGATTTATTGGGCATGGACCCGTGGTCCTCTGGGTGTGTCTTGTGATGTTTGGTACTAGGATATTTGCAGCAGAATCTCTGGTATTATGTGGGACGCTCTTGTGTATCCCTATGACACTTGATAAGAAATTTGTAGTAGCCATTATCTTAGGTGTTTTGTTCTTGAACAGTTTTGTGTGTGCGCCTGATCTGCAGGTGGAGAGAGCTCCAATCAGAGTGCAATGTCATTGGGGTGTGCTTGGTTTATAACATAAAAAATTGAAGCCGTTAAGATTTAGCCGTTTTAGTTTTTTAAGGCTTGCAAAAAAAGCACATGGTCAAATACCTGATTTCAGTAAATCACATTCAAAGATTTAACTTTAACTAGTTTAGCACATTCTCTTTTTCTTCGACTTCAGCTTACAGTAATTTTCAAACAGTCCCTTACTATTGTCACGAAAGATCGTTACTTAGAGATGGATGTAATCAATAGCACGCCGAATCTGACTTATTGATAGGCATGCATGAATTTTAATATGATATTCTGCCTGAGCATTTGTTTTACTTTTAATTTGGTTACAGTTGCAGGACATCTAGCATAAACCTAACTGCTGTGCCTCATAAATTTGTAAAGTGAACAGTAACGTCGGTTGGCTGAACTGTAGTAAGGAGGCAGCACCTTTTTATGCCTTCAATGCACGGTCAGTGCAACTGAAATAAAAGCCCAGTTACCCGATGAATCTATTGGCTGGAAGGCTTCAGGTTCCTGCGCACTGGCGATGAACCACTCTCATAAACGGTGCTCACAGTGACTCCACACACAAACCAAACGGCGTGGGAACATGTCGCAGTACACGCTGGCAGGTAGGAAATGTTCGGTGTCTTTTTAGATTTTTACAAATTTTGTCAATGAACAATCTGTGTTTGCTTTAATTTGTACCTTAGTCCCGATGGTCTATTCTTCAGACAGGGAAAATATCAGAGCATAACATCGGTTTTTTTTTAAATTTTATTTGCTTGCTTGTTTGTTTGTTTTTTCCACTTATGGCTGTTAAAAAGATTTCAAACACAAAAAATAACCGAGAGGAAAATAGAAACAGCTTTAAAAATCAGTTTGTTTTTGCATTGATACATGAACTGCAAAAACATCCTGGTTACAGTTGTTTTAGATAATTTGGTATGCCGAGAAAACAAACTAATGGATAAATAAATAAATAACAATAAAAAAAACAATATAGGGAGTACAGTGATCTTAATTCAGTTGTTTGCATGCCATTTAAAAATGTTTAGTGTAGGATTAGCTATGATGCATACATTGTCAAAATGCACACACATCCTTCAGGATTAAAAAAAGAAAAAAAGAAATCTGCATTAAATGCTGATTTATCTCTACTCAGGTTTCACCATTACATCATTTGGTTGGCAATAACGTCCACTGGCTGATCAGGCTGACTCATATTTTAGAGCAATCCCATCAGCCTTTAATTTTCAACATCACTGCTGCATCCACCCACTCTGTACTGTCATGACTGAGTCAGAGTGAGGAGCTCCCTGCTCCTGGACTTTGACAGGGCTGAAATTGATCTGCATTGATCTGGGATCACAAACACTTGCTTTGATTGTGATCCCATCTTAATGTAATAAATGAATAATTGTGGTAAGTAATAATTGTGGCGTTAAAGGGTGCAGAGTGCGTTGACTCTCTAAGTCTCCTGTAAAAATCAATTTTATAGATGTGAGGGAGACACTCCTTTTGGGGGTAAGACCGTAACACCTCTTCATAGCAAAACTGTGGTGGACCTACTCTTAATACTTTCAAAAACACAAGTAATGGACTACTGTTGGCATTGTTGGTTGTTTACCTCACAATAATCATGCTTACTGCCCTCTCCACGAGTGTGTTTGATGCATGAGTCATCTCAATACATTATCCCATTATCTGACATCATCTGAATCAGCATCAGGGCTCTGTTTTAACAGCTTCAGTCTGTGGTTGTTTTGATATTCTTTCATGTTTTAAAGGTGTTTAAAACACCAAAGTGGACTTTTAGCTCATCATAATAACTTGATGCAAATGAAAGGTGATGTTACAGTATGCAATAACCTGTTTTATTTTTTAAACATGGATGCTTCTAAGATAAATAAAAACAGAAATAATTGATCTTACAGCAGTGCAGTGCTCCCTTGGATCAAAAATGCAACTACAACAATATAAATTATACCGTTATCATGATGACAATTCTTCCAGAATGCAGCCACAACAAGATGATGTTTTGCAGTAACTTTGTTTGTAATGAATATGTCAATTTTCTGAGCCTTCAGTCAAACAAAATCATTAGCTTCACGTTTCAAATACCTGTATCTATACCCGTGTGCTTTGATTTCCTGTTCCTTTCTAGTTTTTTGCATTTTTACAACATAATATTAATGTTTTATATTTATACCTTTTTTCTAGTTCACTTGCAGATCCTGCTGGCTGTGGGTCTAGCTGTATTCTGCTATTGTCTAGTTCTTGGCTGCATCCTTTGCTATCGCAAAAGGAAGAAGGCCTCATTGGAGGACAAAGAAGCAGTTTTTTTGTCTCCTCATCCTGCAGAGTGTGTGACTGTGACACCGACTCCTTCTCCCTGTACGCAAATTGTGAAACAGCAATATGAAGAATTGGATGGGGATGTGTTTGAATTTTCTTTCTCTAAGAGCAGCTCTTCTCCCTCTGAAGATGACCTCACTGCTCTGCCCTTTGACTCCAGCCCTACCAGGTCAGCTGAACTGGTAAAATCTCCTAGATCTTCTTTTCCACTGCGGCGCCTCAGCACTCCTGCAGTTCCCTGTTCACCCAATAAACCTCCAAGACATGGCCGAGCCTCTTTGCCTTCTCTCACCAGGTTGAGTTTTGTGCCTAAATCCCGTCGAGCAATCGGCCGGCGCTGCACTGTGACTGGTGAAAATTTTATTTACAGTGAGAGCAGTTGTCTGACTGCAGGCGCCGTCAGACCTCCTGTGGAGGAGGGAGAGCCTTGTCCATCACAGTATGGCTCTAACTCTCTCTCCCCTCCCAAACCAGCTCCACTCCTTCACTTCTCCGTGGTCTTCTCTTCTACTTGTGGCACCCTGGTGGTCAACATCCTAGGTCTCTTGGGGGTCAGTCGAAGGCGCAGTGGGGTGTTTGTTAGGGCAAGCCTTCCTCCACTTTGCCCTTCCCCACAGCAGATATCCTCACGACGGCGCAGCCTCAGCCCAGAGTTCCACAACCAGAGCTTTGCACTGCAGGTGAGCTCTGTGGAAGAGCTGCGGACCTGTACCTTGAAACTGGCTGTCTACAGTAAGGACTTCTCTGGTCTAAGAGAGGCTGCGCTGGGGATAGTGGAGTTGCCTTGTGACAAGTTGGACTGGGAACCTGACATTGCTACCACCTACACCAGGCAGCTCAGCCCAACTAAGAGCAAGCTGAAAAAGGTATATGGTGAGATGATTTGATCATGAAATTTGTTTGGCATAGGTATTACAATTACAATTAAAAAAGGGGCAATGCAAGTTCCAAAACACAACAGATTGTCCATAAAAGCTTCTCTGACCCTTATGCTTGTAGAAAGTGACTTTAAACACTTGAAGCTGAGATCAAAAGAGACCTAAAATAAATGCACAGTACCAGGGAGCATAGTGAAATACCATAGAGTGTATGTGGTAATGCTTTATCTGGTAACAAAACCAAACAAATGAATTTTTTTTTTTAATATCTCCTAACAGCATTCAGGACTTTTTTCCTTCAGTGGGCTGGTTTCAGTCATTATGCAAATGTACTGTTTATAAGATTGGGGAAACCTGCAGTCAGCTGAGACTGAAGAAGTCACTTGTATGAGTGACGAAACATTTCTCCCACTAAAAAACGCTACGGCCAGATGAACAGAATCAACTTTTGGAGAAATTCAAGACTTTAGAACTTCAATAGAAATAAAGAGCACAAAGTAAAGAGTTACATCTGAAACTGTCTCTTCGCCACCTGTGTTTGCTTAGAAAGTATGAAGCTACAGCCAGAAGATGGTTAGTTTAACAGAAATCAAAGGGAAAACAGACAAAATGACTGAACTGCTCACTCAAACCAAGATGCAACAATTTCCTAATGAGTATATGGGTTCTATTGCTCTCCAGTCATATTAAATGCAATTTAATGTAGATTTTGCAAATTATAATCAAGCAGGAAATGGACAGTGATGCCTGCTAAAGGTGGACACTTGGGTGGGGAGTGTCCTTGAGTACTTACCCAGATTGTCATTTTGGTAACCACCAAAATCTAGGGCAGTTAACAAACCAATGCCAACTGTTTAGATGCGTGACTACAACTGTACACATGATCAGTGATGGTATTTTAGAGGGGGTAGTTATAAACTCTCTCCATTGCTTCCTGCAAGTGATTCTATTTTAGATTTTCTCGGTTCATTTAGTTGCCGTTTTTACAGTTCAAGTGTAAATGCATTTTTAGTGATTCATTTTCTGTAAATCTTGTGAAAATACTGTTATTACAATATATATGTGTGATGAAAGTCAGATATTGTAGCAGCCCTGGGTGAACGTTTGTTTTCAGTGAAGAAAAGCAACATTACACATGATATGACACATCAAAGTCTGCAGAACTGTTGGTTCCTCACATATGCTGCATGTGTAGCTAAATTAAAAGTACTGTGTCTGCCCTAACTCAGTCAAAATTTCTATCAGGTAAATTTCAGTCAAATCCATAAAGAAAAAAAAGCATCAAATGGGACAAAATGGGAGAACAGCACATTGAAAAGAGATCTGCTGTGGGCTGCGTCAGGCGTCCGAGCTTTTTAATGGGCTCATGTTTCTGATGTATCTATTTCTGTGGGACTGTAACTGATTTTTGGGTCACTGACCATACTTTTGTTCTCCTGGTTTCATTGACTTGATAGTATAATTTCAGTCTCCATTTTCATTTGATTTAATAGACAGGAAAACTACACTTCAGTCATAAATAACACGTATCATGGTTTTCCCATGAAGGAATGTAGCATCTAATCAGCTCCCCCATTAGCCTGTTTTTCCACTGTTGTTAGTCATGGTGACGCTGTTGTTCGCCACTGCAGAGCAAACAAGTAGAGTGCAGCAAATGGGCAGTGTGCCCACGCTGTGGCCTCTGCGGCTCTGCTGATACTCTGCCAGAAAACATTAATAACAAGCTTTTGAAGGGAGGTGAGCCTAGTGTTTCAGGTCACACTGAGACGTGCCGGATTCTCTTGGGATGTGCCAACTTGCTTTTTACAGTAAAGTGACAATCAGCTGGGTATACCCACCTCAGTCTCTCACCTTTATACCTGATTCAAACTCTCCACATAAACACACCTTTACCTTCATCTTTCTTAGTAACAGCAGCTGCCTGGCACAAAGGTGTGTGCATACAAAGTGGGAGTTTACTTAGAAAAAACACAGCTGCTCAGCAATCTGAATAATTCTTGTGTATTCTTGTTCATGTATATATCGACTGTGCACTGGAAACTGTAGAAATCTTCTGCATAGATAGTAAAGGGCCAGTTTTCTTAATCAGTGTAATGGGATCAGCTGAAATATTGCTAATCATTCATCTGCATTGCCTTAGTTATTTTGACATTTTATGGGAATGAGGGGCTGAACTTGGTTCAAGCATCAGGATGATCTGCAAACTTTGATTTTTTTTCTTGTAAATGCACTCTTTTTTTGTTTTTTTACTTTAAATCACAGTCCTGTAGGATTCCTGGCAAATTTCCACTTTCTCCAGTCACTGAGTATAGGAAGAGAAAAATAAATAACATTAAGGAAGCCTTTCTGAAAAACAAAAACAAAACCAAATAAACAAAACAGAACTGTTTTGCTTGCTTAGCTGGCATTAGTAGCAGAAAGCTGCAGAGTTGGAGTTTCACATGATATTTTCCACTAGGGTGCAGAAAGTCTACAAAATAATCTAAGTATCGTATTATATTGTATCACTGCATCAGTCAGCTGTTACAATTAACTTATTACTTCCCCCTTAATGTAATGCAACTTCTTGTTACATAGCAAATAACCTTTCAGCTACTGGGGGGCAAAAAGCATTCATGTTACTTAAAGAAGGTTAAAAGTGACCTTTTTACTTTATAGGTTTAAGGTTAATAGTGTTGAACTGGTGTAAATCATAGATTTTTTCCTTTCTTATAAGCACTACCTGATGTTCCCAAGTCTGTCACTAAGCTTGGAGGGCCGGTCGAGTGAGCGAGCACTACACCTGTGGGTGAAAGAGTACTTTACCTTACTCTATAAAGTGCCTTGAGGCAACTTTTGTGTGATGCCCCGCTCTATGGTATAAATAAACCTGAATTTATCTGATGTAATGGGAAGCTAATATAAGTTGTTGCTTACAGAATATCAATGTGCAGTCAATTGTTCCTACTTATACACAGAAATTAGGTTGGAGGAAAATATTTCAGAGTCTCTTTAGGCATCTGTTTTTTGGAGATTATTGGATGATTCATAGAATCTGTTTGTTATATAACTCGAGATGATTTACAATTAAGAAGAGACTTTCATAGTCTGTTTGCAAAAATAACAGAAAATTACATAACGCAATGTTTTCATGTAAAATATATTCTGTGGGTGGAAAAGAATTTGCTTTGGGATTTTTTTTAATTACAGAGAAAATTAAATATTTTTATACAGTGATATAGTTGCAAAACTTGATTATGGAACTGACTCCCAAACAATCTCATATTTGCATTAATAATGTAAATCACATATTGTAATCCTGAGTTGTGAGACCTCTGTTCTGTTTTACACTTCAAGGATTTTCTTTCTCCAAAAATTCTGATAAAAATATTTGTGTAGGCTTCCTGAAGGGACGGCCTACACAAGCCCAATGGCTTCAAACTAATGATGAATATTTCTTGAACATTTAGTAAGCTGTCTTTAAACAGAGTATAAAATGACCAATACTTTTTGAAAAGACCAATTGTGTCATGAAACTGTGTTATGATCTTCTGCAGTTTTTTTTTTTTTTTTTAATTTTTGGACTCTGCTATAGTAGCTTTGCATAATTCACAGTTCAAAATAATCCTTCTCTATCTCCGACTGGGACTGATTCCTATAAGGTGACCCTCTTCTTAAAAGCCAACAGCAGTTGGGTGGGACTGCTACGTTTACAGCCAGAGCTGTAATGACCATATTAATTATATTCTATTCTAAAGATATCACATAGCGCAAGAGTAGAACTGATCTAAAACATTTAGAACAGGATGAAGCTGGGAATTCATTTTTAATTTCAAAGTCTATAAGTGAAATCAGTTGAGAGAGCTGCAAGTACTTCTACAATGCATCCAATGATGACGAGGCAGAAAAGGAGAAAGTGTTCTTTCCAAGTTCTGCACAAACTGATGGAACACTGAATGTAATGAATTCCTGAGACTGTAGACTATGACTAAAATGTTTATGTAACATGTAATCTGATAAATAAGAGGCGAGTATGCAAATAGATTTATGGATTAAATGAAACCAATGAACCTTCCTGCAAATGGGGAATGAGGACGAGTCAACAGTCCAAAAGTCCAAAAAGTCCAAAAAGATGAAGAGAATGAGCAGAGGCATTCATATAAATTATATAACCATAATCCAGGAGGGGTTAAAAGGTGGTAGCATCAAGCCTTTTTCCTTGTAGTGAAAGAGAAATAAGATGCATTTCAGAAAAAGAACCCCAACTTCAGCCTAAATTTTAGTTGACTTTTGTGGTCTTTCATGCCCTTTGGTGTTGCTCAGATGACCGGTGCATTCCTTACTTTTAAAAAATCCACCAGGTTGTTTATTTGACGGCCCTCACTTGCACTTATATTTCTTTGAAACCTTATATTCAAATAACAGCTGCTACTGTAAATGCACTAGAAGCTTAGAATCAACCCCAGATCTTTTTTCTGCTTATTTTGCCAATAATGTGGGGACATGCCTCACTGCACCCTGAAACTGCTTTTCAGTCAATTGTTCAATTTGTTTATGCTCTGAAAACTGGGTACTATGTGTAAAAATGTTTGTAATTCCTAAACAGAAAAAAATAATTGTTAGATCCATTGAGAGGCAAAAATGTGTCATCGTCCAAAAATTTATGGATCTAACTACAGTACATGTTTGACAGAAAATCAGAAAAAGAAGGATAAACCTACCCACAAGGCAGTGCTACTGAGTGACAGTTTCTGAGGTGAAGTGTTAGTGACAGTCAAAGGCAGTGAACCAAAACTCTCTTGTTGAATGAAATTGACTTCACACTCTGCTACCCAGCATCAGCAAGTCGCTGACGGGCTAACACAGCAGCTTGACAGCAGAATGTGACTCACCAACCAATGAAAGCTAATGAAAGCTGACATGAAGTCAGATGAAAATTTGTATCAGATTTAAAGATGAGCTATTGCTCCTATTCACAGTGTATGGATGTCTTTATTGTTTAAGGATGACTGGTCAAATGAAATCCTCAAGCATGACAGCTGCACACAAAAGACAACCTCTAATATCGATGATTTGATTTAAGTGACTGAAAAAGCGACGTAGATTTAGACCTGCTGAGTTCCTCTGGCAGGTAAACCCAAGATGCCAGATGATGTTTTGCAGTAACTCATTCAGATTTAAATTTCTGACCTGTTCCTTTATATTAACAGGCAATGATTCACAGCAAACCCCATTGATTGAGAACGAAAACATTGATTTTCACAGATCTGAGCCTTACTGCTTTGATCGACTCACTCAGTGATAGCACTATAGAAGCATATTCATGAGTACTTCTGGTTGTACTGCTTGAATCACCTCTTTCCCTTGGTTTTTTATCCACAGTTCCCCAAACAGATGAAGCAAACATCTGCTGAGTGAAAGAAAACTTTTTCCCTTCTTCCTAAGCCTCACATTTCTATCTCTTCGTCTTTCCGTCCTTTCTACCCTTAGAGCGTGAGTTCTCAGGAAACGCTGGGCCGCAGGAAGAGCTCTGTGTGTGTGCCACGGGCTTTGGGGCAACTGTTCATCCTGCTGCAGTACCAGACACTGGCCCAGCGCATCAAGGTGATGGTTCGAAAGGCTGAGAATCTGGCCAAGCTCACAAGGATCCCAGGAGCTCCAGGTGAAGACCACGCTCATACCTTTATCCATTCATCCATTCTGCTGGCTAAAGCCTATCCCAGCTACCATAGAGCGAGGGGCAGGATATACCCTAGGGCCTAGACAGTTTGCCCGAATGTCACAGGACTAACACAGAGAGACAGTAAAAACCATTCACTATGACACTCACACCTATGGGCAATTCTATTTAAAACTAACACCACTAATTGCATGTCTTTGGGCTGTGGGAGGAAGCATCATACCTAAATTACAAAATAGACTATTTTTGCCATTGCCTCCCTTAAAGCCCGATTTTAATCAAAACCATAATTAAAAGGCACAAACACTGACTATTGGTGGGAAACTCGTGATAACTCAGCTCACAGTTAATTGATGTCACTGTCAGGTGCCATCAAATAACAGCAGCACTTTATTTGATAAGTTAATGTATTATTATCTCTGGATGTGAAGTACTGGTTTTCTGCCAGATACCTGTGTCATCTTTAATTTCACGCTAAAGTGTCCCAAACTGACTAACTAACCCAACTACATTTTGAGGCAAGTGAAAACAATGAAGTAATCACCTCACTTTACAATAATTATGTATAATTTGCTTACTTTATCAAAGCCTCTGACCTTGCGCATTTTATGTTTTTTGCTCTGTAGGCATTTGGTATTACCTTTGAGAAATTTCTCCCAAAACGCTGACCCCAAATTAAATCTGTTTAATCCTAAAGATGACCAAAAGCAACAAACGTTTTGTCCTGCTCGTCCTGCTCTGCTTGTTTTTTTTTAAAAAAATCAGTGGTTCAGTGTGAATATCACAATACTGAAGGCTTCTGTAATAATTAGATAGTGTAATATTCATTTTGTTTTAATAATAAGATGGCAGAGTGGTGCACTGGAATGCAGTGCAATGTTCCTTCGTTCCTGACTGGGTTTTCTGCCACAGTCCAGGGATATGCTTGTTAGGTTAATTGGTCACTGCTCAAGATTATAATTATAATGATATTACTGCTCATAAATTTGCCTAAGGTGTGGATGTGAGAGTGTGTGGTTGTCTGTTTCTTGTGTTATGTCTGTGATGGACTGATAACCTGTCTAGAGCGTACCCTGCCTTTTGATCTGTGTCAGCTGGTAGAGGAAAGAAGGAAAAAAGACAACTCTACCCACGCTCAACAAAGCTAGCTCACAAGTGTGTTATGAATTTTCTTATATGTTAAGTGTGGATTATTTACCCTTTCATACATTTTGCATTTAAAAAAATTGCATATAGTTTTCTCTGCACTGAGCAGTAAAAAGATGTAATTGCCCCAAAAAGTACATATTTGTATTTTTTAATATACAAGTCACACACACTCTACTGCCTGGCTGGTTATGATCTGATTAGTCTTCCGTCCCTATGCCCAGATCAAAGCGCCTTGAGGCAACTGTTGTTGTGATTTGGCATTATATAAATAAAATCGAATCGAATTTAATACATCAGAGGACCAATTTGGACCCAAGGACCACAACCAGTTTCCTCTGGCTTCACTCTTGCCCAGTGGTGTCGGTGAGACAAGCTGGTGAAGCACTTTGGGCATGGGGACCAGGGATCCCACTTCACTTTCACTGTGCCTTGGGATTTTGCTGGACTCTTTGATTCACATGTACTGTAAACTCTTGAAGCCTTAGTCTATGTTTTTACTGCCCACCTCATTTTCCAAATGATATAACCCGGGACAATCCAAATTTACAAACCAAAAAGATAGTGAACCCTTATAATAATCATAACATTTTTTTAAATATATTTTAATAGTCCAGAAAAAATACTAATAAAATGTAATGCCTGATCGCTCTGTGGTGTATTGAAGTAAACCATAATCTCCTCCAAGTAAAGGAGAAGGGTTAAATTTCCCATTAGCACATTGTAAGTATACAGATCTATTGTTCTGTCTCCTGTTTGCCCATCTATGGTCAGACAGACCGGATCTCTGATTGGTTTGTTATATAATCAGATTAGGAACAAATCGCCCTGGTGTCATTTCCCCCCGTCTGCGCCATCCGATTTAAAGCCTCGCTGAAGAGCAGAGGAGGAAGTAGGAAATTGTGTCAAAGTAAAAACAACAACCTAAACTGACACTTTGAAGCATAAAGTCAGTTGTGTGTTTCTTGTGAGCTTTAACATCAAATCACCCGCGTCAAATATATGAATGTAAATGGGCTTTGCAGATGCACGATTGCACATTGCTTTTAGTTTTAGTAAATCGAATTAGTACGCTTGACTGGATTATTGAGATTATGTATTTATAAGTGATCATGCAGATACGCAACAGTTAGAGAAGAGAGGAGAGCAGAGGGAATTTTAAGGATATAAATAAACTGTTGTAAATCATTTTATGTGAATCTAGCAACACAGCCCTGCAGTAAGGTTGCTTTGGTTTGTTAGCACCAACTGAAAATGTTCCTGTAACTGAGGTTTGCTGCTCCTTTTTATTTGTTGACCTTTCTAGAAAGGAAATGTAATTTAATAAACTGATTCAATCTGATTATAATCATAACTAAGGATGTAATTTTATTCCAACAGACCACTATGTTGTCATTAACTTGCGTCAGGATGGGAAAGTAATTGGTACTAAGGAGACTAAAGGGGCCAGTGGTCCAAACCCCATCTGGAACGCACCATTCCTGTTTGACCTGCCTCCCGGTGACATAAATCAGCTACCGCTGGTGCTTGAATTCATCGTCATGCAGGTAGGAAGTTCTACAAAAGTCACCAACCAGTATCGTATTATTCTGAGATCTCTGTCGCATCTTCATTTTCTTGATTTATCTACAGGGGCGCCTCTACACTAAGAGCAGCATTCTGGGTCGGGTGCTGATTGGCACTGACGCTTCAGAGGAGGGACAGAAACACTGGAGGGAAATTTGCAGTCGGGGGCAAATAGAAACTACTCGCTGGCATACCATCCAGTCAGATGCGCTGTAAGAGTGAGAGTGTGAATGACTGACACAGCGTGGGACGCCCTTTGCTGACTAGTGAGGAGGATTTCAACAGCTATGATCACAATTTCTGCCAATTATCAAAAAACAATTATTAAATAATATTCATGATTTTCTATGTTCACTGACAGGCTTGTACAAGTAAAAAAAAAAGAACACCTCATCTGCATCCAAAACATTACATATATTTTAAGGGACAGCTGTGAAGCTGTTTTCTCTGTATCAATAATATTTTTAAACCATGCATTTACTTTTGTGATTCCTTCCATTGTGACTTCTTAACCTTTATTCCGTTTTTTTGTTTGTTTGTTTTTTAGCAAAAAAACCCAGGGACACATATTTAGTTTTCTTTATAGCCACTAGAATTACAAATGAGGGGACATTTTGATTTTAATTCAGCTAAACATTGTATTTTCATATTATGTATTATGTATATGCATATTTAACATTAATGAAGAGCAAATTATTATAAAACCTGCACATTTTTCAGACCCCTGTTTTCCATTCTGTCTTACTGTAGCAGCATGACTTACTGTTATTGTGCAGCATCCGTCCATAGCAGCTGTTTTGATGTTTCTGTTACTAACCATTATCTGAAATAGATAAGATTACCTACAGTACTTACGATTAGATAAGTAAAAAATTAGGGAGCAAATAACAAAACTAAGGAAACCACTTCTGTTTTTGATAAGAATGTCATATTAAAAGATACTAGAACAATTTTACAATTATGCTA